CCCTTTGAACCCTGCTCATAGCCAACAAAGATCATCTCGACTGCCTTCTTGTCGAGCTTCCCAGATCTCTGTTCTTTCGGCACATGCACAAACGCCTTGCACCCAAAAACTCTAAAGTAGGAAACATCCGGGATTGTGCCGTCCCAGAGAGTAATGGGGCATTGCCACTTCAAGCGGCGCATAGGCTGGCGATTATAAATATGAACCGCGGTGTCGACTGCCAATTGCCAAAAACCATGACTTAGTCCAGCTTGGTGTAGCATAGACATAGCCTTCTCAACGATGGTGCGATTCCAACGTTCAGCTCTCCCATTTTGCTGAGGTGAGCCGGCAACCGTCTTCTGGTGTTCAATACCATATGACTTAAGACGGGCCGTGAAAGTGTCAGAAGTGTATTCCCCCCCACGATCCGAGCGTACTACTTTAATCTTCTCCTTGGTAACATTCTCAGCCCATGCCCTGAAATCCTCAAACGCTCAGAGCGATTCAGACTTCTGCTTAAGATAATAGGCACGTCCAAGACTGCTATAGTCGTCCAAGAAAGATATGAAACCATTCGGCACAGAGGCCGTACGCATAGGACCATCTTCATCGGTGTGAACAAGTTCAAGAGGCCTGGAAGCTCTCTTGTCCGATGGAGGGAACGAGGCACGATGTGATTTACCCCACTGACAGCCTTCCCACGGAGACTTGTCCTCGTCTCCAATTGAATCAACACCTTTGGTATGGCTAGGCAGTTTCTCAAGAGCTTCCTTAGAAGGATGCCCTAAACGTCGATGCCAGAGTTTCCAATCTGACGATGAAACAGTCCTTGCAGACTTGCGGCTCAAAATCTCCAAGAACAGCAGATACAAATTGTTCACCGGCATATAGTCCGCCTGCAAGATGGCGTTGCCGATGTTCTGCGTCTTTTGCCCATGTTCAAACTTGCGGTCATAGATGACCATCCGTCCTGATCCTTGAACCAAACAATAGTTTGTCCTTTCAATACATCCGGTTGAAAACAAACGACCGGACGCATATGGAATATAGGCGACGTTCGTAATCGTCGTTGGAACTCGCCTTCCGTTAACCAAACAAACTCCCTTAATGGTACCTTCTCCAAGTGCTTTGATGGTAGCAGCTCCGGCCGTCTTAAAAACGATAGGGACACGATACTCGTGGTAGTCCCAGAAATCAGACAGATCATTTGTGATTGTCATAGACGCACCAGAATCCATTATCCAGTCAGTCATCTTTCCCTCAGTCTCAGCGGAGTGATCCGCAACATAGAAAGAAGAAGTCAATTGAGCGGAGCCCGCAGAGCTCGCATCTACTTGTACAACATTCGACGACTGTCCAGAAGAAGCACCATCCGACGTAGATACCGTATGTGAAGAAAGTCCATTCAAGTCTGATTTACCCTTGCCCTTGCCTTTGCCTTTGCCCTTTCCCCCCGACTTATTGCCCTTGGGGCGCAGATGAGGGTACTTGGTCCAACAGTTCTCCTCGCCGTGAGGACCTCCACAAGTCGGACAGGGAACCTTCGACTTGCGCTTAATCTGCAAAGATTTAGACGCGGATTGTCCCATGCCGGACCGTCGAAGAGATTCCTCGGCCAAGATCTTGTTGACAACCGTCTCGATCTTCAGATCGGTCAACTTCGTGGTCGCCATGAGCGCAGAGACCATGGTCTGGTAGGTCTCTGGCACCTTGGACAGGAGAATCAGAGCCTGCGTCGACTCGTCGAGCTTGATCCCTCCAGCAATGACTTCCTTCAGACGAGTAACAATGTTGTTCGTCTGGTCGTGAAGGGGCTTAGAGTCCGACATCTCAGGCGACTTGATGAGCGAGCAAAACAGCAACCAGGAATAGGCTGCATCCGGAGTACCAAATGCCGTTTTAAGGGTGTCCCACATCTCCTTCGCAGTCTTCAGGGTTTCCCCATCTTCCTTCAGGAGGTGGTGATGAATGTTCCTCTCCGTGCGCATCAGTAGGACACCTTGAGCACGGGAGTTCATCTTGCCATAATTGGCATCCGTGGTGGTACCCGGAGCAATAGCAGGCCAGGCTTCTATAAACGTGAGGTAGCCGCGCATGGCAGCTGACCAATTAGCGTACTGAGACGCTTGGGCAAGCACGGGAATAGCGTCAGGCTTGACGTCTCCCATGGTGGTCGTCAGAAGAATAAACTCGTTAAATTCTTCGGACTCAAAAACGATTGGCTCTAGAGGAGCCTCAAACGAAACTTCAGAGAGGGGAGTGAGAGGAGAGTAAACGGTGCTGCTTGGCGACGGTAGCCTTGCAACGTGTTCAGGACCAGGAGGAGAAGATGCCTCCGAAAACGAGTTAGCGAATATAAAATCTTCCTGCCAGGAAGCAACCGGTATGCCACCCCAAGTGTTACCTGGTGGTGTGTAATCAGGAACGTCGTAACGATGAGGACAGTGGTTTTCGTCGCAAGCGTTCCACTCAGCTTCCTCAGGACGATAGTGATAGTCGTAGACTTCCTGATAATCGAATAGATGATGATGACCGGTACAATCGTAGGGTGTTTCACCACTACTATGTTCGCTGATGTCCGAGTGATGCTCAGACGAAGCCACAATGTGATGCTTAACAAACTAATATTCCAGGTATTTAAACGTATTGGTACGCCGACCAAAGTTCTACAAAACGATCCAGTCCAGATATCCGCCGTCAGAGACTAGCGTAAGCTCCCTGGCTACATTGCGGTACCTACGAGCGAGCGACTCTGTATCCGTCAAAAACTCGACGCGCCCAACCTGCTTGCAAGCCCACGAAATTCTCTCGCGCTGCTCCTTCGACCAGGTAGAGACCTTGTCGATGTTGTCGTCGACCCAATTGAGTTGGTCAGCGAGACGATGAAGAGCCTTCTGAGAATCGCTGTCAAGACGATCAAAGAGGTGTTTCTTGTCGAAGATCGCTTGGAAACGATCGGCGGTGGCGTGTACCTTCTTGAGAAGGATACCCTTGGCGTCTTCAGCGGACTTTCGCTTGAAGTCAGGGAGAGGACGAGGCGCAGAGAGACGTTCAGCCAAAGGCTTAGGTGCAGAGGTGGAGGTAGAGGTGGGGCGAACTGGGAGCGGATGGGACTGGGATCAAGAAAACGTTAGATCCGAAGATCAGAGGTAGATAGTGTCGGCGTCGGACCAACCTTTCTCTCAGGTTTGGCCGGAGGATAAACTTTAAAATCGCTCTTTTGAGCTACCCTGGAGAGACGCTCTGACAAGGCCTTGGGCACTGTGTCCTTGAGACGTCAAACTCAGTCCAAAAGGACAGCAAACGGTGCCTAACTTACTCCTTGAAGAAGTAGGACTTTAAACAACAGTAGTGCGCACTGTACAGGGAGCTGGTCAGTGACCAGGGCTCATAACCTGATGAACAAGGAGTGTTGTGGCTAGCCTGAGGCAAGGCTACAAAAGAATACTACAGAAGCACACAGAGCACTGTAGTAAAGGAGGACTTACAACAGATCTCTTAAGAGCTGAGAGGGAAGACTCAGAGGCGTTAAGACGAGAGGAGAGACCGTTACATTCTAGGGCATATCCAGCCCGGTATATATACACATGAGAGAGCCATCACATGATTGTACAGTAAGTGTAACAGCGTAGAGTCATAATGGAGCGATATGGTGCAATGAGCGAATACACAAGGATGAGGCGATATTGCACCATGAATGGAATGTCATGGAAAGGACTGGAACAGCGATGTGCTCGATGATGCAATATGATGCAATCAAGGAATGTGCTGGAACATGCTGGAAAGTGGTGGAATGTTCCATCAAGGTCTAGATCTAATCATGTGCTACAGGTCTGGAACAAATCCAAAAAGAATGTACGTAATATGTAGCATAGTAGAACATAAGTCCATAACGGGTAAGGATAAGTCCTATCCCGTGTGATAACACCTAAAACAGTTGAAGTTCAACAGACTCACGGTCATGACAGACCTTCGTCGTCACTGGATCACATGGAAAATAGAAGGCGGACCTACCACTTGTAACCTGCGGGTCCCAATCCCATGGGCCAGATTGTCCAGCTCCGAAAGTGATAGACACACCCAGGAATACCGCTTGCTCAAGAGCCTTCCCCCGCCTCACTACTCCTTTATCATCGACCCGGATATCCTCTACCCGAATGAGAGTCCGTACGAGTTTGAGGGTGGCGATGATGTCTTGTTGCCCCCGGAATCGAACAAGGAGAGTGAGGCTTGCGACACCAACGATTCAAGTGAACAGGGAGGTTTTTGAAGGTCTGTCCTCGCTACAGCTATCGATTCATCCGTTTTTACAACTTTGGGTCAAGGCTTGTTCGTGGTGTGATCACCGCACGGCACAACCATGGTGCTGGGTGCGTAGGATGGTGTACTCCGCGCCGCGGAACGCATCACAACATTTTTCCCCGGCGACGTAGCCCAACTCTGCACCGGAGGTAGTCAGATAACTTGATAAGGCTCATTGTCCCGGATGTATGACGTGCCTGTCTTCATGTAACTAAACATCGCCACCGCGTATCAAATGTATGCACAGTGCCAGGACTCTTCCTAAAGCCACCAACATCTGGATGTCAAGCGCTTTGGAAGACGCACATGCAAAGTTCGAAGGTGTACTTATTTCTCTGATATATACACGTGGCGTTGAGCGCACGTGAAACCTCGGCGCCGGGGATTCGAATGAGTGCGGCGCCGAGGGTTGGGTTGGGTGCGGCGCCGGGGATTCGAATGAGTGCGGTGCCGAGGGTTGAGTTGAGTGCGGCGCCGGGGATTCGAATGAGTGCGGCGCCGAGGGTTGGGTTGGGTGCGGCGCCGGGGGTTGCAATGTTCTCGGCGCCGAACTTTCATGTGTGGTCATCGTTTCCTTCAAGCCAGACTTTTTGTGGAAACGTGTCACAACTACATGCCCTCTGGCTGAGAGTAAATTCCCTTCAAGCTGGTCTACGCCTCAAACAAACAGGCACAGGGGCATACAAATTGACACGTCACAGCCTCCTGCGCAGTAATCACTCCAGGGGGTTCTGCTCAACATAGAGCTCTGTATAGGACGACTGTGCGTCTGCAGCAAGTGATGCATAAGTGTTGGCAGTTTGACGACAGTGCTCAGCGTATCCAGGCCATGCTTCGCCTGGACCAGTGGTAGCCATGGCAAGCCAACGATCCTGCTCGTAATCGAAGTACAATTTTGTTGATTGCAACTCGCGCTTGAGAATCGCCGACTCTTCCATTGCCCGGTCAAGCCGTGACCGAGCTCGGAACCAATGAACCCGGTGGACTATTGGAGGGATTGAGCACACAATGTTGCACAAGCGATGGGCAGACGCACCGAAGAGCATGTGCTCATTGTCATCCATGTCTTGTTGAACATTGACTGTCCAGATCCACGGCAGGGTGGCATGCCGTTGGCCGCGTGCATTTGGTTCGGCAATTGCGGTGCTGACCTTGAGATCGGCGGGTCTGAGACGTTTGTATATCTTGCATGCTTCCCTGCTCATATTGAGCCGCACCAATGCTGACCTTGCACTGCGATACACCGCGCCATACCGTTGAATCTCCCTTGTAATTTTCTCAAGTCCGGCATAGGCCCGTGTCTTTCGCTGCTGTGATCCACGAGATGGACGGATACGGTGGCGGAAATGAAAGGACTTTTCGCTGAGCAATACCCGCAGTCGGTGCAGAGCATCATTCGCTTGGCCCCGGCGTAGAGTTCGCTTGCGACGGGCCAACCGCCTCAGGCTTCGGTCATTTGTCATCATCTCTGGAGATGCATTCGAGGGCAGATTTAGGACCACGTGCTCGGACGCATCAGGTGCAAATGGTCCTCGTAGCCTCCGACCAGCAAGGGGATTCGGTCGGTCGCCTATTGGTGTTGCACGCGAAGACCCATCATCAGCATCTACGTCCTCCCATTCGTCTTCCGGTGCCTCATGCCGAATAACGTCCCAGTTGAATGCGCGCGCAATGCGGTTGGCTCGGGAATTGAAACGGGCGATGCTCTTTTCCAGGGCCTTACGACGTTTTGCTAGTTTAATCTTGGTAGCGCTCGTCGCATTTGTTCCATGCCGCATGGTATCCTGCCGCAAGAAAATCCTGTATAAAACAGTCAGTCCTTTCTGGCATGGCCATCACGCCGTTGTACGTACTGCGCTTCCTCAATTTTTAGGCCGTCCGCGAGCCAATCTGCGGTTCCAATTGGAGTGCCATCATTTCCTTCCGCAGTGGTCAGCCTTAGCTGCAGACTGGCCTTCGACGGAGCTGCGCATAAATAAGCTTACAGGCTCTGGACTACAAAATAACCTGCTAACCTGTCTGCTCGGGAATCATGAAAATGTCCATGGCCCGGACATCTTGCAATCTCTGCTCCTGGGCCCCGCGAAGCACCCGGTGCCATTGTACAAGTACATCAGTGCTTATTCCTGATTCCTGGGCATCCAAAGCTTCTCGCATCTTCAGCAACAGCGGTCGATTTGCCTGTATGCGCCTCCGTAGTAGGGCCACTACAACAGACAGTCAAAAGTGTAACACATCTGTACAGCGTGGGATGCTCACCCATAGTTATCATCTTCTTGTAGTTCCAGTCATTCATGTGCCGGTCTAGTGTCTCCTGGCGATTGGATGACGACATTGATCGAGTAGTTCCTGAAATACGATTCAGGGACACCCACATCGTCTCCAGAATCTCGCCGTCAACATTTCCAGCACCAGCCATGAATGTGGGCGAATACCGGACCTCGCAGGTGTCCTGGTGACCATGAACATGGAACAGGCCTATTCCTTTCCACAGCGTCAGGTCGTGTGGCATTGAGATATGCGGGCTGTCAGTGAATCGCTTCCGAATGTGAACGCCGTATTGACACATAATGTCATACAGCACAACCACCGGCTGTTTCTCGTGTGCCCTGTACTTCATCGCATTGGACAATGAGTAGTCCATGTTCATTTGCCGTTCACCTTTCTGGAAATTCACAACCGAATGGGGTACGAAACACCCGTGGCGCGAGCAGGCAGTTGCACCAATACCGGTGACCGCCAGCTTGTGTCGATTGGCGTTTGCTTGTGAGACTGCCTTGTGGTCATTACATGTGGACCGCTGTTGACAGCAGATTTATCGCTTTTGGTCCAAGCTGCGATGTGTCATGGATTGCCTGCTTACCATTTTGATATCCTTTGCCACCTTGAGATGCTCTTGGTACGGCCCGTCGTTTACCAGAAACATCTTGCCCGGCATCATTGGTACGTCATTTGCAGGTCGTCGCATTTTCATTTGCTCCGCTGAGAAGTTACCATCCATGACATAGCTCCGAGCGTATAAGTACCTGATCACCGTCAGTGCATGCGCTATCAGTATGCCAATGCCAAACACACGTCTTTGGATCTTCTTGCCACTGCCCATCGATATTTATCCCGGGCTGTGGACATGCAACACAGAAGTAGCCGAGGTCACCGTCACCGGGTGTGCCGCGACCTTCCGGGCCAAATCCAAATGTCTTTTTTGCTTGGAGGAGCGCCCATTCACGCGTGACACGCATGAACTTGAGATATCGGTCCTTAAACGGTTCGCGTGAATACAAAGGGGTCTTTCAACAACGCACTCGGCGAGTACGCACCGGCACTAGATGTGGAAACGCCGGATTCGTTAATCGACGCAGCCGTCGATAATAGTTCATTGCGTTTGTATTGCACTCGACATTGGTCATCAAGTAGTCGTCCAGTACGCGGAACGTGAAACACGACTTCGGTGCACGCTGACTTGCAGGGAAGAGACCCGCTGCTAGTAGCTGCGCTTTCCACCCCTGCCGAGAAGGGCACCCGCACCACCTGACAGGTAGGAAGTGAACGCCGGACGTGTCTACAATTGTCATCATGGCATGAGGAGGCTTTGGCGGACTGTCAGCAGCACGAAGGGGATCGTCGCCGGCCCCGCCATTTCGCTCCTCATCCTCCCAGGTGTCCTCTGTGTCATCTACCTCCTCATCATCATTGTCATCGTCAAGAATGTCGTGGATATCCGCCGGCGGCCGCCCAGATGGTACCGGACACCGCCCACCATGATGTCCCAGCTCGACGCAAACGCCAACGTCTCGCAGCCAAGAACTTGTCCAGCAGCCCTTCGTGTCCCACACCTCAATACGATGGAAAGGGTCTCGGCTGTGTCTGTCGAGGCAGCACGATGTGCAGTACACCGGTGACCCAAGACAACCAGTGCACTTCCAATGCCCTCCGCTGCCGTGGCACTCCATGCATTGGTATGAGCCGTCGGCAGTCGTGGTTGGCAGCACCGAGGAGGCGTAAATGCTTCTCAGGTACTCGGTCTGATATGGTAGCCATTCACGAAGCATTTCGGGTTGTGTCTATGTGGATGTCACGCATATATCAGCGGACTTTCACGTTATTAACGGTACAGCCGAGATGCATTTCCGCCGTCATTAACGGAAACCCGACGTCGGCCGACGGAATGAGTCTGGAGGTTGCAAACCCACCGGCCAGTGCCGGAGGTGCCCTTTTTTAGCGGACCGGCCGGTCTTGTTTTGAACGGATCGGCCGACAATGGGGAGCACCCGGAGGTGTCACTAACAAGGGGCCTGTGTTCACCCATATGCTTATAAACAAACCGGCCGGTGATTGCACATATGGTTGTAAATGGACCAGCCGGAGATTGGCAACCACATTTATAACACTCCAGCCGGATTTCATCCCTGTGTTTGGAAATGGTCCGGCCGGAATGCATCCCTATGGTTTCAAATGGTCCGGCCGGAAGTCATATACCTTTGTTTATGATGTACTGGCCGAAGGTAATATATCTAAATTAATAACACACCGGCCGGAGGTGATATACCTACATTGAGAAAGAACCGGCCGGTCATAATGTACCCACACACAAAACAAACCGGCCGGCCATGACATAGTTTCACTACACATTGACCAGCCAGGCATAGCATGCCTATATTAGAAATGAACCGGCCGGTCATATGGAGCCTGAATATCAATTGCTCCCACCATCCTGGAAAACATATTCATTGATGCACTGAGTTTTCTGGACCATTAATGCACTGGACCCAGGTTTTTTGGGCTTTGAATACATTTTTAGCATCCCCATAGATGCTCCCAATTTTCTAGGCACATGCAAACCATTCCAGAACTTTAGAATCATCAAAATTGAGCTTTCTAGGCTGAAAATAGACCAAAACCAGCCTTTCTGGGCTGGAAATGCATCAGAACACATTTATTGAGCCTCCCAATCCACATTTACAACAGCTCTGAGCCTTATACATCAGGTCCGAGTATTTTACACAATCGCCGAGATTCCACAAAGTCCCGGCGCCGAGGGTGCACCAAGTCTCGGCGCCGCAGGTGCACCAAGCCTCGGCGCCGCACCAAGCCTCGGCGCCGCACCAAGCCTCGGCGCCGCACCGTCTCGTTAAGCGCCGAGAAACATCGCTCGGCGCCGAGGGGTGCACTTGCTTCGGCGCCGAGACTTGGTGCACCTGCGGCGCCGAGGCTTGGTGCATCTGCGGCGCTGGGACTTGGTACTACCTCGGCGCCGAGTTGTGCTAAAACTGAGGAATAATGGTGTTTCTAACAATGATCACAAAAAGATTACTGATGTTTGTTACACCAATGACCTTTTGTAGCTCATCTTATAGGGAATGTTAGGTTCATCAGGAAATCTCCTAATGACACTACAAAGGTTTGTATGTGGTTACTTATAAAAAGTGATGTTTGTGTCTCATTGTGTAGGGAATGGTCTGTTGATAAGTAAATCTTCTATTGACACTTCAAGGATTTCCAATGGTCAGGCCGGTACAGCTGCTTTTCTTGTCTGGCTGGTAAGTAAACTTACTGATGACACTACAGTATGTTGTATTCAATTTGTACATTTGTAGCTCATCTTATAGGAAATATTAGGTTCATTAGTAAATCTTCTAATGACATCACAAGGGTTTGTATGTGGTTACTTATAAAAAGTGAGGTTTATATCTCATTGTGTAGGGAATAGTCTATTGATAAGTAAATCTTCTATTGACACTTCAAGGATTTTCAATGCTTAGGCCAGTACAGCAGCTTTTCTTGTTCAGCCAGTAAGTAAGCTTATTGATAGCACTACACATATTTGTATCTCATCTTGTGGGGAACATTAGGTTGATAAGCAACTATTATGATGAGACTACAAGGATGTGTACATCTCATGTTGTTGTTATTGTACAGTAGACAGAACACTACATTACAAATGTGTAGTACTATGACAACTTCTGGCTGATCTAGCGCCCACACTAAAGTTGGTAGCACTTACAGCTTGGAAGATTAAGCTATGAGATTTGGCATATGTGCTGCTGGCTGTATGAACATACATTATAGCCACTAACCTAATGTGGGCAAAGAAAGTATACTGCCATGGTGAGGAGAGTAAGAAGGGAGCAGGGACATGCACAATTAGTGATATGTCTCTGAAGTGATAAGTTGTTGCCTTTATGTACAACTTTTGTGCCAACATGTGTCCAGATGAACAAGTACATTCATCAAGTCATGTATGGATGGGTTGCTGATACATGTTTCATTTATCCTCATACATTCTGCTATGATCATGATGGCCACACCCTACATATATATCTGTATGTAGAAACCAATCCCAGATGAATATGAGACATTCTATAGAATTAACACATGTGGTCCTAGGTACATTGCTCTGCTACAGCCTACATTTGGAACTCACTGACTTTTCTGTAAATGCTAGACAGTTCAACCTTGATGCAGGGTTGTAACTATGATGTATTCTTTTGTGATAATCAACCTCTTGTTCCTACAGTGTTCCTTTGTCTTAATTTCATTATGTACTAATTAAATACAACACACTGTAGTGTCATTAGTGAGTTTACTTACCAGCCGGAACAGGAAAAGCAGCTGTACCGGCCTAACCGTTGAGAATCCTTGAAGTGTCAATAGAAGATTTACTTATCAACAGACCATTCCCTACACAATGAGACACAAACATCACTTTTTATAAGTAACCACATACAAACCTTTGTAGTGTCATTAGGAGATTTCCTAATGAACCTAACATTCCCTATAAGATGAGCTACAAGAGGTCATTGGTGTAACAAACATCAGTAATCTTTTTGTGATCATTGTTAGAAACACCATTATTCCTCAGGTTTAGCACAACTCGGCGCCGAGGTAGTACCAAGTCCCGGCGCCGCAGGTGCACCAAGTCTCGGCGCCGAAGCAAGTGCACCCCTCGGCGCCGAGCGATGTTTCTCGGCGCTTAACGAGACGGTGCGGCGCCGAGGCTTGGTGCGGCGCCGAGGCTTGGTGCGGCGCCGAGGCTTGGTGCACCCTCGGCGCCGGGACTTTGTGGAATCTCGGCGATTGTGTAAAATACTCGGACCTGATGTATAAGGCTCAGAGCTGTTGTAAATGTGGATTGGGAGGCTCAATAAATGTGTTCTGATGCATTTCCAGCCCAGAAAGGCTGGTTTTGGTCTATTTTCAGCCTAGAAAGCTCAATTTTGATGATTCTAAAGTTCTGGAATGGTTTGCATGTGCCTAGAAAATTGGGAGCATCTATGGGGATGCTAAAAATGTATTCAAAGCCCAAAAAACCTGGGTCCAGTGCATTAATGGTCCAGAAAACTCAGTGCATCAATGAATATGTTTTCCAGGATGGTGGGAGCAATTGATATTCAGGCTCCATATGACCGGCCGGTTCATTTCTAATATAGGCATGCTATGCCTGGCTGGTCAATGTGTAGTGAACTTGTCTTATTCGCCGCTGCTGCGCCCGGCAGGGTCCGATATGCCGCTGATAGTCCTTACCATGTGCGCCGTGCGTCGCTCACGAACTCTTTGATGACAACGTTTGAGCACAGTTTCTTGAACCACACTAGCGAGGTTGACCTGCGCTATACATCGACGAACAGTGCTCCTTGTGACTGCCTCGCATCCGCAAACGAGCTAGCCGCTCACGTAGCTCTCAGCCACAGTTCGTCCCTTCCTCCGCCGCCCATGTCCGCCCGCCCGCAGTCCGCTCCACCCGTATGCCGCTGAGTTGCGTCTGGAGGAGTGAATGATCCACCTCGTGTGCGTGCAATGATGAACGGGTATATGGACGAATAGATATCCGAAGCAACAGCGACTACTCGCGCGCTGAAGAAGGCTTCCGTCGCAGGACATGCTCTTCTGTCCGTCTCCCATATTTTCATCTATCCACGAGTTCGACGTCATCCTCATCGACCTGTCCTCCTCTTCCTCATTCATGGGTCGACCTGCAAGAGCTGCCCATACACACGCTCCCCGGTGAAGCACGGCAAGTTACACACTCATGCTCGCCACGTGGTTCTATACTGAACGTCCTGATCAGAGACATCAAGTATTATGCCTCAAAAGTACGGACTTTGAGCACCGGCCAAAGGTGGTACCTCGGACTAGTGCTGATCTTGTCTGACATTCGCAGGCACATGCTGTTGGCGCAAAAATGCTAGTGGATTCGACGTTCGCCCCACCTCCCTTGCAGTACCCATTCAAATGGGGCGAGGACATGGTTATGCACAGTGGTAGGTTGCAAACTTGCTTGGGATCCACTAACATGGCTGAGATTGATCCCCCAGGAACGAAGTACTTTGGCGGACACTCGGATCTGCTATGTGGTGTTCTCGTCGTGCCAACCGAGGCTGAATGGAAAACGGTGAGTTCGATTTACGTGATGCGATCGATCACGCTGCCGGGCATTCGCCCTGGCTTCCATCGCACGGAGGATTATCCTCGTCGTCGCCCGGATTATGTTGGTACTGTATCGACAACTAGGGCTAACGTGATCGAAGCTTCTTTGAGTGCGCCCGTATGCAACGTCGCGCGCATCGTATCTTTGGCCCGTCTGCGTAAGACATCCCGCTGACATGCCTTATTATGTCGACAGTTATGGACGCAGCGCACCTCACTTGGGTCCATGATGGGGTCTCTCGAGTTGTGGCTGCTCCTGCGCTCCCTCGGTACGCTGCACTTCCGCGTACCGCGCCAGTCGGAGAATGCTAAGGGGCTCGCTCGCTGGTTGAGCCAGGCTGCTGGTGTTAGTCATCTCGTGCGCACGCTGGAACCGAGATCTCTGACGTCTTTCTCTGGTCATAGGGCAGAGCTTTTAAATGGATCCGTGCCCGTGTCATCGACGCTGTTTGGCACTCGAGTCTGCAGGCAATGTCAACCGAGGATTTGAGCCGAGTGCTGAGTTGGAAGGCACGTTGAGCTTCAGTTGAAGAATCCAGAGTATGCTTGTTTACTTCCACATTCATTGGAATTCTTCGTCGTAAGTGTATACAACCCATGAGGTGTGTGGCTCACACTAATAGCCTCGACAGCCTGCGACAAGTCTAGGATGATCCTGGAGCGGCCCCTAGATTGGTCCGTATCAGCTGCGGCGTCGAAGACATTGAGGTACGTATACACATATAGCCATCAGCTGTATGCGCTCGTCGACCGCGGATACCAGGATATGAAGAGCGCGCTAATACAAGACCGTGTTCGCCAGCTTTGCCGCTGCACTCATTGGCATGATACTCATCTTCCTCGACACCGTCAAGGCGCCCGGCCTCGCGCCCATCTGCGCGAAGATCCGGCGGTATGGCACCGGCGCACTGTGGTGCGGCGCGTGGGCGACGGCGGCAGCGACGTTTGTCGGACATTATCAGTGGTTCGGCACGTACAACTGGCTGGACGAGGTGCTCCCGCCACCAGATTATGATCCTGGTGATGGTCTCGAAATGGGTGGATGCCAGACTACCGGGAGCCACGCGATCACCGGGATGCCTTAGATATGCATCATGGTGCCGTTCGACGACTCTGAGCAGGTGAGGGTCAACCCGCGCGCTCTACGTACGCGTTGTCTCACTCCCACAAGGCCGTCTGAGGTACTAATCCATAGATGTCTCATACACGAGTGGGGAACAAGTTATCTACCTCTTTGTTGTAGTCAAATGTAGTGGTAGCTCCAGCCTTTGCTGCTTCCTTCAATGTCATATGTCCTGTCTCCGATGTTTGAAGCATGGTAGCCATGTTGAACCAGACCATTGATCCACGACCACATTCATCTCCTTCCATGGTCTCACAGTTCTCCCTTGTAGGCACACTACCATCAGTGTGTACAAACTTGAGATCTGCATAAGTTAGATCAGAACATGATAAGTATGGAGTTGTGAAAGGTGTACTTGCCATGGATATCAATATTGAAGTGCAGAAAGAGGGAGGAAGGATATATGACAGGGGTCCAGGGTGGCAGCTCAACAACAATCCCAGCTTCCCATACCACAAGCCAGGAGCGGTGCTTTGAATTGAACTTGGCTAGATTAAAGTATTTCATTTGTAAGAGATGTAGAATGTGGCTGATAACTCACAGTTAGGAAGGACATAAACCATCAGAACACATATCCCAACAGGATTCTTAGCATCTGTATGAGGCATGCAATGAACACGGGGCTCATTGGGAAAGCTTCCATTGAGACAGAAGTCCCAGAAACCACCAAAGAGTGGGGATAAGCCAGTGTGCAATGCATGCCACTCTGCAGACTTTTTGAACCTTTGATAAACAGCTGGAAAGACAGCCTCTACTGTGCTTTCAATAGGGCAGTTCAAAGTAGCCGCAACGAAAATGAAAACGAAAGTGAAAGTGGAAGTGTTAGTCACGTGTATGTCCGAACGCGGTAGTGTGACATTATGTAATCAAGCCAGCGTCGCGCGCGCGCCACGCTGCTGCCTGTACCGCCCTCTGTACCTTCCGTCTGCACACTGCTAGCTCCCATGCCGCCCAGAAATCTCCATGACGAGGTTGTCGAAGCTTACATGGCCACTATGGCCGTTCAAATTTCCACATTACCCCCAGACTCGAGCCAGAACCTCCTCCGCCAACTCCAGCATGACTGTGCAGCTCTCCACACCATCATGACGACCCGGTATCTCAACCCCCGACCGCCTGTCCCAAAGGCGGGAAACATACATCTTGCATGGGAGTACGCCAAGGACCCAGCTCATCACCACCGCTTCGTTGATATGCTACGTGTTTCCCCGAATGTCTTCGAGACAATTCTCCGGCTCATCGAGGATCACCCCGTCTTCCATAACGAATCAAACAATGAGCAGACACCGGTGCGCACACAGTTAGCTGTTACGCTGTACAGAATGGGGCACTATGGCAATGGTGCCTCTGTTCAGGACGTGGCGAGGATGGCGGGCTGCTCGGAGGGTGCAGTCGAGCTTTATACGGATCGCTGCCAGGAGGCAATCATGTCTCTACACGAGATGTTTGTCCGGCCGTTGACGGATGAAGAGAAGGAGGTGGAGAAGGCATGGATTGAGAAGCATCTGGGATTCACCGGATCCTCGTGGCGGGAAGGGTGGATCATGTATGATGGCACAATCATTGTGCTGTACGCCCGCCCAGGCCTTGATGGTGACGCGTATTACACACGCAAGTGTAACTATGGTCTGAATGCACAGGTTTGATTTCAGCACAGCTGTTAAAGCATTGACTAACTTATACTGCAGATAGGGAATGCCCCATCTAATCTCCGCATTGTCGATTATGCCTGCGGATGCACAGGTGCAGCCCACGACTCTGTGGCATTCGACCATACTGCTGCAGCAAAGTATCCCGACTGGTTCTTCAAAGGTCGCGAGTTTGCCTGGGGCGACTCGGCGTACACGGTGAATCAGCGCACCATATCAGTCCACAAGAAACCCGCATCACTTGAACCCGACAATGCGCTGTTTGATCGCTTTGTGGCATCCCTACGTGTTCGCTCGGAACATTGCATGGGGGCGCTCAAGGGCAGGTGGCAATCCCTGCGAGGCCTACGTATTCGGATCAATCGGAAGCAGGACCACTACCGGGCATGCCGTTGGGTCTCATGCTGCATTATCCTTCATAATGCAGTGCTGGACATTGACGGATGGGTAGGAGGGGCCGAGTTCATACCATTGCACACCCGAGATCACGAGGAGGATGACCGTGGGGAGCACGATGAACCTTTGGAGGATGAGGATGACCTCGATGATGAGGCGAGGCGAAGGGGTCTTATTGCAGAAATTGTGGCAGCAAAGGAAATGGGCATCATAAACTAGAGGAATCAACTATTCTAGCTACGCTTTAGCCTTTTCCTTGATCTCTTTGATCTCCTCCTGTAGATCAGCAATTTCCGCATCCATCTGTTTGTCAACCCTGTCCACCTCACGCAAATAGAGCTCCTGTGAGAGCATGCCATTGGTGAACTGCCTCAAAAGCCGATCGTGCTTTGCAGAGGCTGCTGCGCGGAGGCTTCGGATCTCCTCCCGCAAATCTTTTATCTCGTCCCAGTCACGTTGGGCTGCAGCATCAGCAGCCCGTTGTGCCCGATCCAACTTCGCATCCTCTGTATGCAACCTTTGTACAGCAAATCAGTACCAGATAATGAGCTGAACTGCAATACGTACTGAGTGACCTCACGAAGAACATCTCCTATTCCGCTGCTAGGCTTGGGCGCTGCCTTGAAGTTGCTTGTGATATCGCGGTACTTCTCAGGACTGATGTGACTTGGAACAGGTGCAGGCTGCGATGCGGATGAGGATGCTGTCGGAGCACGAGACGCAGACGGTGAAGGCGGGGCTGAGCCAGACTCTGATGGCACTGCAGGCTCTTGGTCAGGAAGGTGCGGCTGTTCAGCATCAGGCCCCTCTGGCGCAAACGGTTGGTTGTTACCGTCTGCCACCTCTGTGTGCGGTAATGAGCCTAAGTTCCGCAACACAGGGTCAATGAGTTCATCAGAGACAGTACCTGGTTCCTCTCGCTCAGCATCATCATCCTTCGGCTGGTAGTAAGCAGTCTTACGCCCATGCGGCCCAATGCCAGTCGTAACCGAAGGTGGGTTGATGCTCGCTTTTGATGCAAGCAAGCGGTGAAGACGTGGAAAGGGCGGAAATTCCTTCTCGATGCGCTCTAGTAATGCATGTATTAGTACAGACCATAGTCGGAGCGAGCAGAATCATACCCCAGATGTTCTTGTACGTCTCGGGGGTGCTCCCATCAGGACCTTCTGCTGTGATGTAACAGCGCAGGCGTTGTTCGGGGCCATTCTCATCATCAGAGTCACCGTGCCCATCACCGGACTCGTTATCTGAAAGCCCGCCGCCAGTTACTTTGATCGCTTTCACCTTCTTTGCATACAGTGCCTTCAGGCTGACGAGATACATACATGTCAGCGAATTGGGCAGAAGATAGCCCTGAGCAGCACGACGTACGCATTGATCTTGTTCAGAACCTTTTTTCCCCACTCCGGTACCTCCTGTTCGGCCAGATTAGGCCAAAGAACGCGTGCTATCGCATTTGACACAGCGACTTTCGTGTCACCTGACGATTTCTGACAGCTGGCATGTTGAAAATGGCACAAAGACAGTTAAACGGTGACGTACCTCGCCCTTTTTGCGGCCAATCAAGACCTTCCGATGCTCCTTCTTCTCGAGCTGCTCAATCAGCTTCCAACAGCGTGCATTAGGGTTCTTGTTGGTACCCCACGACGCGCCATCCTTGTTCTCCGCTGTGTCGCCGTCACGGGGCTTCTTTCCCGCGTTGTCTGCAGGAACGTCGGATAGCCCGCGGGAGCGCTTCGGCGGCATGAGAGCAGAAACGCAGCGAGAATGCGAGAGCCGTTGTGCGTCGAGAACGGAGGACACGCCGCGAACAGCGAGACTGTGGGGCGCCGAGACGCGTCCGGTCACACCGGGTCACAGCGCGGAGCCCTGCACGTGACCTTCACTTTCACTTTCACTTTCGTTTTCATTTTCCTTGCGGCTACTCTGAACTGCCCTAATGAACTGACTGGTGGAAAACATGAGGTTATGAGGTGTCAAGACAAGGTAGAACTCACTTTAGGAGTTTGAACAAAGGATCACACAAAACAGCCTGAACCTTCTGTTCATTGTTTCTGTGCCACCTGGTCTTGGTGATCTTCTGTGGAGAAGTCAATAATGATAGAAATTGGTATACATGAAGGAGAACATACAGGAGATGATTGGCGCCAATGACCTATAATACAGGCCATGTGTTTGCCTCTTGGGCCTTTGGCAGATTGCTTCTGCTCAGCGGTATCATGAAGAGCTTCACCAATGAGCATATCGGGGATGTGAGCGAAAGCCTCTGGGTTGAGAAAGGACGCAGGGAAACCCCTGTAGAAAAAAAGGCGATTACAAATATCCACAACTCTGAGAGCAGATTGGGGGCTGCACTTTGTATGAGATAATATACAGGATAGCATGTGTCAAGTACTCACCCATTCCCTTCGTAGGGTAAGGGAAGGAAGTTGGCTACCACCTCTTTGATGCTTCCATCCAGCCAGCGAGCGGTTATGTCCTGAAGGGAGAGCTCAGGAGCATGTTTACCCTGCCACCCAGTGGCCGTGACGTTGACATCGGTCTTGAGATCAAAGGAGTGAATAGTGACCGTTGTGCCACTAGATGCGACACGAGCTTGCAGTCGGGCCATTTGCCTCCGTTTCTCCTTTCAGTTCTCGCGTAGACGCTGCTTGTAACGTTCGGTAGAAGCCTTTCCAGCTCGACTGTGTTTCGTGTTGCTGGTAGAGGATGCAAGATCCGTAGGGTTTGTTGACGTGGGCAACACAGGGCCCGCTGTTGCCCTGCATGAAAGACACTGTTAGTGCATGTTGAAGATCAAATAAAGAACGCACACTGTATAGAGCGGAGCGTCTGCGTTTAGCACCAGCTGATTGTCCTTCTTCGTGTGATAAATGAAGCCTACGTGTTGTCAGCTATGGGTTAACAGCGCAGTATGCCATGAACGAACCGGCGGAATCCTTCTTGTCATGAGAAACAAGGCCTAGGACTTTGCTGTGAGTTATGGAATGGTAGTGCAGTACATCAAGAAACAAACTGGTGGAACTGCTTGATGTCGAGCGGTGTATGACAGGAGAGTCGTCGTCGTCGTCAGTTATTTCGCCCTCTTCCTTTTCACTCGCTGACGGAAGCATTTCATCTTCCGGGGTATCTGATTCGGGCGAGTCCATTCGTTGGTCTACCAGATGGTGGCACTGCCTTGAGATGTACAAGCAGGTAGTTACTAACACCAGACTTACCTAGGTCATTGTGGCCGAGCGGGATTCCCATCCCATCGCCTACCCCCAAAGCCGCGCAGTCGAGGGCTATGGATATGGGATCGGACAGGTAAGGCTGCATATCGACCTCAAACTCATTGGACGCAAGGAATTTTTGAACCAGTGCTCCTACGTCGCACTGTGTGGTTACAGTCTGGCAGCATATCGGTCAGCCTTTTTAGTACGTTTTAACGGGACACATTAGACCAACCAATCCGCAGTCGGACGACGGAAGGAAGGAAATGGTCTTGTTTGAAGACGCAGACGATGTCATGTTGAACGAGGAACTTGAACGTGTCAAGATGAGGCGTGATGAGCGAGGACGACCTAGCTCGGGTGTCACGCTGCTCGGTCCGTCTGCGCACGCGCCGACATCTTGCACCAACGACCACTGGGCAGCTCACCCGCGCTAGACGATGACGGCCTCTATCTGGTCGCCCGCGAGCCTCTCGCCGCCTTGCCGTCCAACACTCGCCATGCTTCTTCTGACGGTCTCAACGCAATGGCGGATAGTGCCAATGCACTCGTCGCCGCGCTCGCGCCTATTCAAGATGGCCTGCTCGCCGACGCTGGGTTAGCATTGGTCAGTAGCCTGCCATATTGCCCGGTCGACGAGTGTACAACTCACAATAATACTAGCATACCCATGTGTGGTTCAAGAGATACGAGCCGACAGACCTCGTTTCGCTTGGGATACTGCTTGGTGTGCTGCCTGCGGTACCTGTGGCCTTGCTCCGCGTCCCCCTAGCCTCGACACCGCTCGCCATCCTGGTTGGCAATGCTTCTTTCTACGCTTTCCTCTTCTTCTCCATCACCGCCTACCGCCTTTCGCCATTCCATTCGCTCTACAAGTATCCGGCCCGCTCCTCGGCAGGCTCACGAACTTCCGCGGGATGTTCATTGCAGCTGGAGGCAAGCAGCATCTCTATTTCAAGGAGATGCATGCCAAGTATGGCCCGATCGTGCGCCTCGGTGAGCTGTCTTCGGTGCGCGCGGCTCCCTGAAACCCGTAGCTGACATGTATCGGTAGGCCCCAATGTGTTGTCCATAGTGGACACCGACTTGCTTCCCTCCATACTCAATATGCCACGCGGCCCCAGTACGTCACGTCGACCCACTTCACCTGTGTACGCTGAATCAACGGTTTACTTTAGTGTGGGATGGGCGCCGCATCTCGGGCAAGCGGGGTCAGGGCACTGCCGGGATCCAGAAGGGCAACCTCATGGGCTCGCGCAACATGCAGGTGCATGGGGAGGCGCGCAAAGTCTGGAACCGCACGTTCACCACCGCCTCCGTGAAGAAGTACGAGCCGATTGTGATTCGGCGGGTGTCCCAGTTGGTCGACGAGCTAAAGGGGCGCTGTGCCGCGAACCCTTCGAAGGCTGTGGGGGTGGACATTGCGTACTGGATAGACTGTTTCTCGTGAGTGTTCGCTGTTAGGGCCCAGAGCACCGTCGCTGATGGCTCGTTCGGTAGGTTCGACTTCATGGGAGATTTCGCGTGAGTCGCGCTCAGTTGAAAGGCATCGCTGAGGTTTACCTGACGTTTCGGTGGCCCTTTTGATCTCCTTCGCGACGGTGAGAAGATCGGGGTACTGAAGATGATGGAAGACAGTCTCTTGTACGTAGCCAGGTAGACTCCTACGCCATCGTCCTAGCCATACTTATGCATGCGAGCAGCGTTCCAAACTTGTCCGGGTATGTGCCAAGGACCATCGAGGCCGTCGTGTGGCTCCCGTTCCTCCCCAAGGGAGCAAAGAATCTCGGCGAGTTTGCCTTCCAGCAGGTCCTCAGGAGGCTCAAGGAGGGTGCGGTGCACGATGACCTGTTCTACCATCTCGTGCGTACCTCCTGCGCAATTCTGCTAATGCCATGAACTAACCCTCAGCGACCGGTGCTGGCAGAACGCCGAGGCGAAGATCGACAACGACCCGCCCCCGCTCCCAGTCTTGGTCTCCAATGCCGTCACGGCTATCGTCGCAGGCTCGGACACCACGGCCGTCTCCCTGACGCACGCCCTGTATCTGCTCATGGGCCACCCGACGTGCTACAAGCGCTTGCAAGCAGAGCTGGACGCTGTGTTCCCGCATTGGCATCGTGTCATCGGTGGGGACTTGTTCGGTTTTGGTTGCTAAGCCCAGTCGGTTCTACAATCGGCCTACATTGACGACTCCGGTCATCCGGGTTGAGGAAGTAAACGTCGGCCGCATATCCTTCCTGGCATTGACTTACCATAATGGGTATTCCCGCCATTAGCACCCGCTCCATCGCACCCGGCCAATGCGTCGGCCCGCACTATGTCAACCCGACAACGTTATGTGGCGGAGTGTTTCCAGACATCCGCTGCTCCACAGTAGTGCGGAAGACCATTTTTGGGACATGAAGATTGGTTTGCAGGCAGCGATTGGCTGCGCACTCCTCTACACAACACCGAGCACCATGTGAGCTTCAATTTCTCAGCGGCCGTCTCCGATGAAAATTAGGTGGTATAAGAAGCTATATAGGTCGAGACCGGACAGCAGCCAGCGTCGCTCCATTCGCGAACAATGTCTCTGCTCCTCAGTGCGTCTGCTATCTTTTGGCTGTAACCCTATGCTCATCTAACTATTCTAGCTCCCAACGGGACGCTGCTGCGTGAGCAGTGGCCTGAGGGCCTCGGACAAACTGTCACCGACACGGCAACCGTTGATAACCCGCGGCCGTGGCAGACTGTACCAGTCTCATTCGACGATCTTAGCAAGTGGGCGGACGTGGAAATCGACACGACGCAGCCACGTTCGATGGACATGGGATCTCCCCGCACGCACTATACGTTGCTGTGGTCGCCGACTTTGTTTGCAGAGGCAGGCCATGGAATTAGACGCCGTGCACTCATACGGCTTCATGGAGTGTTAGGTGGGTTTTGTGTTAGTCCTCTAGGAAATTGGTCAGGGTGCGTACTACTTGACTTTTCCATCGCCTGCATTCCGTTAAATCATCTCTGCAGATCTCCAGATGACGCCAAAAAAGCAGTGCAGTTCGTAACGTTGCTCGGGCATGACCATCCGGCTGTGTTTGACCCACAAGTCCAAACGTTGAGCGCCATTGACGATCTCGTGTTTCGATCGCTCCGCGCGCCGCAGACTCCCGTTGAGCGCAAATGTGGCGTCATTAACCTGAGGTGGAGGGTCTTCTCCAGGGTAAGTGATTATTGTCACCCCTTCGTCGTTCACCACCAGACTTTTCTACGCACAGGTCACCCCCAAGTCGCCTGCTACGCCACTACCGCAGTTGCTGGCGGAGGCCGATAAACTCTCATTGAGATCCGTGGAGGGACAGTGGAACGTTAAGCATACGTTGTCACTTGCGATGCAGACCCGCGATGGCCAGGTGCGGCGAGTGAAAGATATAGTGTTCGCAAAGGGTGACTTCGTCGAGGTTGCCGTGTATGTCGACATAGTGTCCTTCTGGGACAGGAAGACTCGTCAACGGAAGATCGACATTCAGTTTGCTCCACAGGAGATAGTCGTCTGTGGTCTGCTAGAGACGCAAAGGTATGGACTCTAGTTCGTCATAAAACACATATGATTGCAAGTTGACGAACGTCTATATAGGCAAAGTTGGCAGCTGCTCAATTGCCTCCCGTGCCTGCCAATACAGGCGATCAGCCTATCATCTCGCTCGGCACGTCATACCATATTCTGGAGCAGGAGAACAACGAAGGGGATGTTAATATGCACTACAATCCACCCAATGTTCCCGCTGACGGTGTCCCTGCAATCATTCCGCAGCAGGGTCAACAGAGACGACACTCATTCTCGTTTGCGTATGTGTAATGTGCAAATGTTACAATGCTGTACTGCTTTTCATTCTGCGATATTATTCTGTTTGTGACACTGCGCTATCACGGTCCTACTAGTCCGCCACAGACAAAAATTCCGCCATGGCGATGCAAAGAGTGCTCTTGACTGTATCCCGGCAGCATCGACGACCCGTCTGGTTCGAGCTGTCATACGTCGGATATCTGCCACGCGTCGGCGTGGGCGTCTGCGGGTACTGTTACTGCTGCTGCTGTTGCGCACCGACGCCTGCGCACCATAAGGGTACCCGCCCATGAGCAGGCGCTGCATATGGGCGGGGAGCGTTGATGGCGCGCTCCCCGTGGCATATCCACGCACAAACGGGTTTGTGGGCGGCGGCGAGCATGTTGAAGAGTCGCTTATCCAGTGCGACGGAGAAAGGAATGAGAGGATCGCCGGTATTGCTTTCGCCGACCCCGGCAGCCTGTGTCGTGTGAGTACGGTACTGAGGCACGAACCAACAAACCGCACCATTTGTTCTTTGCATACAGTCCCTCTCGCTCAGATTGCCGAGGTACGTGACGAGCTTGGCCGTGAGAAGCTGCAAACCATTCACTACATCGATCTGTGAATACATTCAGTTAACAATGCATTCGTTCAAAGCGGACGAAATTGAGAACTGATAGAGATTATTCTCATGGGCATAATGGGGCGTTACTCCCGCCTTGACGAGCTGGGTTATCGAGCTTACTGCTCTTTATCATCACTTGAGCAGTTCACGTGCATACACGTCACGCGCCTCGCATGACGGTATGGGAGCACGGTGCCACGCCTGCACAGACGGCATACACTCACCTCCTTGTTTTGAGGCGGTACAGTGATGATACGACCGAGCCAGTCGTACACCGAGTCTTGCCATCCTTTGGATGAATGCCGGAGGAAGCGGGCGTCGAAGCGGCGATAATCCAGCAGAGGTGGAGGTCGGGCCAACGAGATAGCGCAGCATGATATACGATAGGACGGCGACAAATCAGCAACGCGAATGCGGGGAGCAAAAGCGCACGGGACCGACCTTGAGCCAATGAAGTTCGAACAACCCAATCCATCAGTACGTGGTCTGACAAATGCCACACATTGTGAGGGTTAAATCAAATGAAGATGGCGGTACTTCAAACGCACCTCAGACCCTTGCCAGCCGAGGAAAGCACGCAGCTAACTAGCTTCTGAATGATCCTTGAATGCATTACCACGTGAGTGTATGTACTAGTTCGCCGGAACCAGTCTCTGAGACGGTCGTAGCTGAGGCTCTACCCACGACGCCTCATGTGTACAAGTAGTCAGCAGAGATTCCCACCGCGCGATTGGAACAGAGACCAGCGCACCTTCATCTTGACCTGTTCCACGCCATCCCTGTCCACCTCCTTCCGCACCGAACCCTCATCTACGCTCGGACTGTTCACAAACCGCGCCACGCTCTCCAGCTTGTCCACATTGATCCCGTATCGGCTAGCGAGCTTTTCTAGCTCCTCCCGGGTCGAAGCGTACTAGCGCTCCTCCAAGAGCTCATAGAGCGTGCCCGCAAGCATGCGGTTCCGTGTGGGCGTAAGCGAGTGCGCATCTTCTTCCGACCGCTGGCGAGCCTGAAAGACGCGTTGGACCTGATCTGCGCCCTGCTGGGCCTGTCAATGGCAACAGGTAGATTATGGGCGCGATTAAGTACGGGGCGGACGGTCTGCATATGGTGGTCGACCTTGACCGGCCCCAGCTTGCTCAGCATCGCCATGAACTGTGGGTCTTTTGCATCTCGCTCGATAACTTGAGGAACCGCGCGTGAATGAGCCTTGTATTCAAGCAAAAGTTCTGCGACATACATTCGTTCTTCGTTTCGCTCGCGCGTAGAGGCGCAGGCCTGCTGGGGCCCGCCGACGCGCTCGGCTCGTCCGGACGCGGTGTCCGTGCGCCAGCCCATGTCGGTGGCGGCTTCGGGGTCTTTGGGAAGTGACGGACTGGCTTTGAGTATGCTCCTCCTATACTTTGCAACCAGGTTGAACCTCAATTCGAGGGGAGGAGGACGATGAGGAGGACGAGCAAGGGGAGTGACGCAGGCGACGCCGGTACTTCCGGCTTTCTCGGAGTGCCCACTGGTGTACGCTAGCCAAGTCAAGCTCCCAGCGTCGACGGAAGGCTGAAAGCGCTTTTACTTTGTGACCGGGCAGAGAATAACTATGTAGCCGTTAACGATCTCAAGCTTAAGGTTTACTAGACCTGTTGCAGTTCGACTCTCAAGCTAAAGCGAGCCTCTAAGTATAGTCACTGAGGGTCATTTGCGGACCTCAAGCAGGTAAACATACATATTCTAGCACGGATGTAATCATCCTGGTACCAAGGGTTACTGGAACAAGAGCTTATCACGGCAGAACAAGGATGACGGGCTCCGCCAGCTGCGGTCCCTCCTCAACCGTGCTATCCTCCTTCCCTCCTCTCGTCCGCACGCACGTCGACGATCCTCACGATGCGCTCCTGCAGCTCGCCCTCCGTGCCGGGATCCGTCCTCCAATCGGCCACCCTGATCCTCGGGATGCGCACGAACCCGCACTCGACGGGGACGAGCCGCCAGAGGACGGTCTCCTCCGCGCCGGGCAGAAGGATCGGCAGGCGGCCGTTGCGCAGGCCCGCGGCGATGAATGCGTCGCTGTTGTCCGTCTCGAGGTGGACGACGACGTTCGCGGACCGCGTCGGCTGCCGGTTGCGGACGACGAGCCGGAGCGTGAGGGGTGTGTGCAGCTGCGCGGTGGGCGGCACGTCGAGCAACGCGATGAGGCCGTCGCGCGGGGGCCGAAGCGTTGGCAGGGAGAAGCGGGTCGTTGCAGGCGTGCTGTAACCGCCTTCTGGGAGGATCCTGACGGCCGTGTTACACGATGTCAGCCGTTGGGTCGTGCTGCAGTGTGCGAAACGCATCTTCTCCACGTGAGCTTGTAAGAACCTGGTGGAGGTATGTAATGAACATCTTGTAAGATGAGAAGCAGTACCTGTGAGGAAGTCGTCCATGACTTGATCAAGCGCGCTGTCCACTATCTTCGCATGCCGACCGTCCTAGCACATCAGCGTGAGCGAGATATTGTGACGCTGCGTGCGGTGAGGGGGGTGACATACCTGTTTGGTGAGCGCAATGGAGTCGACGATGATCCCCGACGGCGCTGTGCAAGTGATCGTTGTTGTAACAATTGCCTCACCCACATCCCCATCATCCCAATAACTGTCTTCGTACGTGGTGAGGTCAGCGAGGCCAGGCTGGCATTTCAGTGATCTCATGTACACTGCGTGCTGCTCGATACTGATGGGTTGAACCGAGGGCACAACCAGCGTCCGGATCGTTTCGTGTCGGTCTACCCTTGACTGGGTGGGTTTAAGTGTCAGTGTCCGGCATAAGGTCGTTGCGTGTGGATGAAGGCTGGGGCTGGGGTAGAGCTCTCCCGTGTACCGTCCGCGGCGTATATGTCGTCCGTGTTTTGCTTGGTGAGTGCGCGCTCGAGCGCGATGGGCAACGAGACGGTGAGCCGCGCCAGGCGGATGGTCAGGCAGGAGCGCCGGCGGATGTCGAAGTAGGAGAGGTCGTGGAAGGCACGCTGCACCTCGAGCAGGTGGGTAAGCTCGTGGTGGAGGGCGAGGATGCAGGTCCAGCAGGCTGCGCGGTCGTCAGGAGTCATGTGGTGGGAAGGGATGGATGGAGACTCACTAAGGGCGCGTTCGCGGATGGCTTGGAGGGAGACGAGGACAGAGTTGATGCCCTCTTCGCCTATTCGAAGCGAGGGATTGAGATTGTTGACCGTTCCTGGTAGATGAAAGCATGAGCCTTCTTTCATGGACGAGCTAGACCGTAACGTACTAAGAAGTGACCGGACCATGCCCATTACAGTGGAGGGGAGCACACGTGCGTACACGTTGGCAAACACGATCACATGGTCCACGCGTTCCAGTTTGTTTAACACAAGCACGTGTTGTGGGGTACCGGTGCGGTGGCGGTATAAAAGGCCGGGGCAGAGCGTAGGGTCGAACACCCCGCGCCATCGTACCAGGAGAGACATTCTACACGATGGTTGCGGCCTTCTTCTCATCCGTATTCCAACCGACTGCCGTGCGCGCTTTCTCGGATGGCCTTGCGATCCACAAGTAACAATCTATTGTCAAACGTCACATGAGATTGCAGTAAGCGTTACTGCCTACCGCACTAGCTATTTGAATGTCACACGGCGCGTCCATGGCCTCTTTGACCATACGCTGGTCAGAGCGGTAGTGGGCCGCTTCACTGACGAACATGGGCTGAACGCGGTGGGAAGCGCGTCGACACGTCAGCCCCACTACACGTGACTTTGCGGGCGATGGCGTGACGCGGTTCACACAGTTCGAGAGAGACTCAGAGAGGTATGCCCACAGACTATGCAGCCCCATGCAGCCGCCATCCTGGACGTCGCGGACAAGCCGGAAATTTGGACGACGAGCAGCGCCGCAGGTCCATCACCTCCGCTATGATAGTGCGTCCTCGCGCCGAGTGTCCTGCACCGCACCGCCCTACATGGACTCTCCCCACCCCCCACCGCCTCTGCAACCCGGAGATGCCATGTTCTTCGAAGCTTATGTGTTCATGGGAAGTTCGGCCGATGACACCAGGCCCCTAACGCACTCTCAGGTCAGGCTCGTCGACGATATCGCGCTGACGTATGTGGCACACAGTTCCTGTCGTCCAACCTAGTATTGGGGCACACGGCGACGCAGCCCGCGACGACCCGATGCCCCTGTTTATGCACGGAGGAGACTAGTGAGTGTATGCACGCTTCGTGTCGTGGAGAAGCTTACCCGGCAACGGCAATGCATGACGTTGTATCGACAACAGAACCAGCTTATGAGTGCTGCGGTTCAGGCACTTGTTGCCTCCATCCAAAGCTCTGCTGCTGTGTTCGTGGAGTGTATGCGCAGTCATTGGTTATATGCATTCACCGTATACATATATTACTGCTAGAGGTGTGGCAGACGTGCTTCTCACCGTCTGTTGCACCACAGCTCTTTCTGCTAGCAGTGCGGCAGACATCTAGTATGGGGTTGTCTATGCTGTGACAGTTTGTGCGGTGCGCTGACAGGGCACAGATGACCCAGACCGCGAGCAGTCCCTATGGTCATGGCCCAGCTTTCCAGCGTGCCAAGGACCCTGCCCTTGTTGGTGTTTGCGTCCATTTGAGCACGGGCATTCATGTGAAGCATGCCAGCTCTACCGACGCCAGCGAGCTAGGTCCAACTGCCACCACTGATTCCGTGCCGGCTCCTACTGACACTGATGTCAGCTCTACGGACTCTAGCCAGCCTGGTCACATGGACTCGGTGGACAGTTAGAGCACACCGTCCGCCGTTGTTGACTACACAAACCAGGTCGTAGCAGTGATCTGGCGACTTGAAGCCGTTGACCTCGAACAGTGTTATATCATATCAATCCTATTGATACTCGTAGAATTCCTGGTCTCAGACTGAAACTTGTGCTAGCGGTGGATCACTATGGGTAATTATGCCGTGTTGAACACTTTTCTTATTATATTCGGAATGAGAGCACATCAGACCCGGAGGTGTTGAACCTCTACAAATTTGCCATACAAAACTAGAATTCGAAGTTCTCGCTGCCGCCCGGTCCATGTGCGTCTGGCACAGGCTCATCTGGGCCAATAAACAGCATTGATGCCGCGCACAGCTCAAAGCCTACGCGGTGAAACTTGGAATCCTTCCACTCCCCTTTGTACTTCCCTTTCCCGTCCTCCTCACACATCCAGCGAGTGAGGTGGACTTCTAGCAGGACAACGTCATTGGCTCCCACGCTGGAAGTAGGCCACTTTTCCATGCTGCTGTAAGTCTTAAAGGACGCTGTAGCATCGTAGAAGTCGTTGAACGGGGCGACCTAAGAAATCGAGTGAGCGCTCAGTGCGGCGTTTTAGTAAATGCAGCAGATATGCCTACCGAACGTTGTGACTTCGTCCAATAAGTCATCTGCTTTCGGGCAATGAGCGTGCCCTTCGGCTCCGGGTAAGCTGAAGACTGGACTATGTAATTAAAGTGAGATTCGGTAGCAGCAAATGGAGGCACGATTTACCTTCAACGCCCCCAAAGGCTTTCATGAACGCCTCCCATTTGTCATATTCGCCGATATGGATGGGGCGTATGCGAATGGCAATGCCGCTGGGAAGTTGTCCATTCTTACCAATGAGCCATGTACCCGTGCGGACCACCTCCCCAACAATCCAGAACCGTAAAGGTTCGTTGTTGATCCCAAGGTGCTGCGTGTATGTGTCTTTCCCAAGAGACACCCAAGCCATACCTTCGGTAGGCATGGCCGAAATGTTGTAGCGCATCTTAAGTTCATCAGAGGATGTGACGATTTTCTTCATTTGTCTGGACAACATCAGCATGGCACTTGTCTCATTATACGTGGGACTTACTCCCGAAGACTCAGCGGCCATTCTGCGTTGCACTGACTGCTGAGCAGGACGCCACTGCTGACATTCCTATCAAGGGGGGGAACCTGAACGGTGTCTGGAGCAGCCCCAGAAGGGGCATCGCTTGCAGTATCCAAACTGCCAGTCGACGAGGAGGTGCTGATTGGTGTGTCTGCAGTTGACGGGATCTCCGTAGTGCTGTTTTCCCAGATAGGAGAGGAGGGTGCAATGGGAGACGAAGGTGGAGGTGTAAGAACTCCATGGTCACTGCGTCCGGCTTTGTCTGCGCTGTCACTGGCCGACTTCACCCTGAAGAAATGGGGTGGACAAACAGTGAACAGACGCAGGAAAAGTATTGTAGTAGTAGTACGTACTTCTTGTTCGGCGATCCAGGAAGCGCCATATCCGTGCCGTCATCATGCAACCTCTTGGTGCCGAAGCGCGTGTTGCGTTTTGGGTCGGAAGGCATGGTTGTGCAAGTACCTAGATGACCACATTGTGAGGCTCTATATATGTCAACGGAATGAAGAACAGCTCCGCTTTTCGGGTGAGGATGAAAATATCCGACGCAGGGGAGGTGGCTGTGTCCGGATACTTTTGCCTATTGCGGATTCTTGCGGCCGGCGCGCATATGTGGCGTATGCGATCGGCGGAGCAGAATGACAGGGAGTGAAAAGTATATTTGACATCTGACCAACTGAAAGTCACACTAATATCAGGCCAGGCAGTGATGGAATCCGTTCTCTGGAGTGTGCGGCCCAGTGCGCCATCTGCAGCTCATGCTTGGTGGGCGTATCTCAGGGAAGCAGGCTAGATGGAAGGGGGTATCGGAAAAGGCATGTGGCGCAGTGGCCGGATTCTAGAATTGAAGTGTGGATGTAATCGGTGAACGTGATCGGCGGATGTGATCGACGGATGTGGAGCAGAAGACAGTCGGGAATAGTAGGCTACCGACGCTGAGAAGCCAAGGCTGGGCAAATGCTCCCCAGAACCATGAGTCTTGGCGAGACTTGTAAGATTGAACGAACACATTGCAACAAGAATTACAGTGTTTATGCGTCTATGCCGTTAACCAGAGCTAGCTCTGCAAGACCATTTGTAAGCAGACTGGGGTGCGTTTGCTTCAGCATACGTTGTGGCTCTTTACCCCATGGCGGAAACTCACCGGTGAAGCACAATTTTGGATGCGGAGTCATCGCCTTGGCGCATGTCCACAAAACGATCATGCAATGAGCATGCGCAGCGGAAGATGACAAAGTGCCCATTCCACTGTAAGTCAGGGAAACTGGCGGCCACGGCAAGGTTCGGCTCCACCTCTCCCCCTTGAGAGTAGTAAGCTCGGTAACGAACCGAGGGGTACATGCCACGGTTGCGTTGGACCGTTACATCCGCATAGTGAACGGTAGCTTCGTCCAACGTTGCCCATGGGAGGAGAGCGACATCCAGCCCACGATTGATGGGGTATCTATGAACGGGTACCCTGCAAAAGTGCTGCTGACCGCTTATGCTGAATGAATAAGCGCGGACCGTTGTTGACTAAACAGGCATGTGAGGCAGGTCAACCGTCAGGTGAAGAGATCCTCTCACCTTGTACAGGATGCAATGCCTTCCTCCTCCTACCGAAGTCTGGCGTCGAATGCGTGCTAGGAAACCGAAAACAACCAACGCTGCAATGACCACAGCGGGCAGGAGACAGAGGTGCATGTTGTAGCAAAAGAGCATGAGGAGCGGGACGTCACGGAGGTCTCATGTACCAGCCGGGAGCGGAATCAAATTGAAAAAAAACCCTTAATCAGCGGCCAGAACTGGAATCATCCAAGGACGGATGTAAGTTACGACGATTGGGTGGTTCATATGTGGCCAAAACTTGATGGCCCTCTGCCGAATTGTTGAAAAGGTTAGCTTTCACACTTCAAATGGCATGAAGGCAGACGTACACTGCATCCCATCCCCATCGAACGCGCCACGCATGCACATTGACATACCGATTGTCATGCTTAGGCCGACTGAACGGCAGTGCAGCAGCTACTTAGTCTGGTCCGCCTAGCCTTCCTCCTAGACGGACACATACACATTGTTGTAGCCAAGGATGGCTGCAACCGGGAAGAGCGTTGGGAACAGGTCCGGGATGGTGTTGAACGAGTTGTAGAGGTTGATTGCGAATAAGTACTTGTGCATGTAGGGAGTCAGGCTCCGCTGCGTGGGCGGAATGTAGTTGCAGAGCCCAGCCCGAGTCCCAGCATGTCCAGCCCGGACAAGCAGGTGGGTGACTCGTGTCGCATGAGCGATGAATACCGCTCCTTGGCCTGCTCCTTGTACATTGGTTGTGTTTTCCGTGTGCACTCCCTGGTGTAGAACGGGGAGAGTGAAGTGAGTAGCTGGAGCACCGGGAACCTCTGCTCTAAGGAACACAGGCTGGAGGCGCCGGGCAAGGGACGGTGGCTGGTTGCGCACGACGCGTCTGTGGCGGGATTGCTCAAATCGTGCTTATCGCATCCACCTGTTGCATCGTTGCTAAATTCCCTTCCTACCAATGCTCTCTGTGATTAGCTTGAGAACAAGAAGACCCCGAACTTCAAGGGCTACAACCCCGTTTGGAGCAGCTGCAACAACCCTCTGCGCAACGGGGACATGCACAAAGGCTTTGACTTTGGCTGAGAGGCCATGGAGGCGGACGACTACGACAGGCGGCAGGCAAAAGATGGGACAGTGGCTGGCGCGAACGTCTGGCTGCAAGAGCCAGCGAGGTTTCGCGAGGCTGCCCTCACCTATTAGTGAGCATCCACCGAACTTGTGGCTGCTCGTTCTCAATGACGCTAGGCAACCAATGCTCACTTGGAGCGTAGCCATGCTGCGGAGGAACTTGGCAAGAAACTCTTCCGGCTCTTTGCTCTGGCATTGGAGATACTGGAGGACTACTTCGACGATAAGGTATGCTACACCCCTCCATTCATGCCAGCAGCTCACAGTTGTATACTCTTAGACGAAGAACTCGGCTGCGCTCATGCCAGTCCTCCACTATCCACCGCAGACAGGACCCGTGGACGACAGAGTCGTTGGCATTGGTGCGCACACAGAGTATAGCTCATTCCTCTGATACCTGTCCAGAGGTTGACAACCGTCACTCCTAACGCGCAGCTGGGAGGTCAGTGCGGTCGTGATGCGCCTTCGTATCTGCTCATCGACGTCATCTACGCATTACAGTGTTTCACTATCCTCTGGCAAGAGCCGGCTACCCAAGGGCTACAAGTCCTGAACAAGGAGAAGCAGTGGATCGACGCGCCGCCGCTCCAAGGAACGCTAGTCATCAAGTGAGATACCTCCACTTATCGCGGGCTGTACATGCTGATCAGATTCACCGCTACCCTCTACTAGTCTGGGAGACCAATTCGCGCGGTGGATGAGTGCGTCGCTCTACCTGATCACTCCTCTACATTGCTGATTCACAACGACCCAGATGAGGTGTTCAAGTCCACCGTGCATCGTGCCATCAACAGGAGCGGCGTCCGGCGGTATTCGATCCCTCTCTTCTTTGGGACGGACTACGACGTGAAGCTAGAGGTGAGTTCGTCTGCTGTCATCAGGCGCGATTGTGTAGTTTCACGTCATAGCACGCTCCTCTCTCAGTGTTGCTCATGGTATGCGCGCGGTCATGTATGGTCTTACCGTCTGCTAAACCAGTACAGCATAGATGGCATGAGTAAGCCGTGAGCCCATAGCAACGCTCAGATCAGTTCCAGGAACCTCTCTCAGGCATGCATTGCCAGTGAGCGCACCGTCATGGTACCAGATGTTGTTGTCTAAATCGATGTAACGAGATGTGAAATGATTGGAGCCCAGGTAAACGAGGCCTACCAGCTTCCATTCCATCAAATGTTGACCACTATGATATGACACCAATGGGCTTAAAGCTATATGTCCTCCAGTAGGCTGATTGTTATTATATTCAGGCAGGATCTCAAACGCAATGTACGGGGGATGTCATGGTATGACACGGAGGCCCCGTATTTTTGCTTTGTTTTATCCTATTTTTGCTCATTTTCTATGGACTTGTACGATACGCTGTACGGTAGACTTCGCCTGGAACAGCTTTCTGACTAGTCACGTGACACATCACGTGCTAGGGTTTGTCTTGTGACTTGTTCATCATGTGGCCTTGCTTATGTAACTTATCATGTGCCCTGCGGCAGCGCCTAGCCACCTGACTCGTTCTAACTCGTTCTGACTCATACGTACACATGACCTCAGTTCTCGGATCCAGCGTAGGTAGACCTGCCCTCAACTTAGCCAGTATATATAGGGTCCTGTACGCTGCCTAGCACTCCAGCTCGTCCTCTTGGAGTTGCTAGGTAAGCACTTCACATTGTACTAAGTAGAGTGCAATGTAACTAACTTGGAGTTGCTAGTCATTGCGTTCTACGCTGTCTAGACTGTTGTTGACCTCGGTCCAACACCTTGAGGTCAAGTATTTCTGTTATCAGTTCTGTTTCTAGTCGCGTCAGACCTAGCTCCGCGACAGGGGAGGGGAAAACAGTGCCTGAGAAGTAGTGATTGACAAATCGCACCGAGAACATCTGCGTGTCGATTGCTGCCCATTCGTGAAGGATTGTAGCAAGTTATCGGTAGTGACTGCAGAACCGGCCACTCCGGAGCAACTGTCAAATAGAGACCTAGTTATGCAGATGTTCAAGTTATGGATTGCATGTTCCCGAGAGATGTGCAGGCAGCCCGGGCAACGCGAGATAGTGCGACCAATAGGTAAGCTCCGCTCTAAAGTGATTTCCAAAATATCTGACACCGATGCCAGAGATTGACCTAGAGGGAATGAGGCCTGATTATGTAGCCGTAATTCAGTCCGGAATTGATTTCTGGCACGTTCCCAAGGTATGTTTTCGTATCCAATAATAGAGAACCCTAACAAGGTAGCCAGTGGGCCACTATGCAGGGCGACAGAGTCATCATCGCCATGGGGAAGACGTCGATCTACCAGCGAATTAAGAAAGACACACACAATCGCGTCATACGCACAGCTCCAATTTATATTGTCCCATCGGGGACCTTTCCTTGACCTAGACAATGAAGGCTGGGCAGGCCCGGGAGTGATCGGAGTACATGACTGAACAGTGACGCCCTGTATTGTACTAGGAACCGACGGCAGCTTAACCTTTTCATCAACACCTGGGTGAGTGGGCCCAGGCATTACAGGAGGCTCTTGCTTTGTTCGCTTACAAGCACGCGCATGGTTAGGACCCGCGCTAGATTCCATCGCTTTGCGTTTGGATTTCGAGGCCGGTACTGTCGAAGCGGGGGGGCTGCTATTATTAGGGGTGGTATGCAGCGGCTTCAAATCAGCAGCAGCATCTTTACTCCAATTTATAGCCGCATGAACGCCAGCCGGAACATAGTGGGCTCCCTTCCACTCCTGCCACTGTTTGATAAGGCCAGCCCTATTGTCACCGGTTACGGTAGAAGGCAAGCTACCTCTGACACGCATAAGCGTCAATTGACTTAGTATCTCCAGCTCGCGGAATTTGCGCCTGAGTGGCCCAATACGTCCTCCAGTAATCTTTGAATGATCGAGGGAGCCTATGATTAAAGTACCTTGTAGGGAAGAGCTCCTAGACAAGCAAGTGTATATAGATTGGTGTGTACGACAGTTCATCAGATGACAGGGGTTGAATGGTCGTGTTCTGCCCTGAGAGCCAAAGTCTGTCATAGCGAAATTCAGCAGAACGGAAATCTGTTCTCTATCCCACTTGATGGAGCGGCCCGACTTGCCACTTGTCCAAGCAAGTCTGACTCTACGGCGGGTCAAGGGAATTACATTTGGTGGAAGCGATGGTAGGTTAACAGGGCGAGCGGGTGCCTTCAAAAGAACAAACAAAACATCAAGCACATGGCGGCCACTCCTTGTGTGTGATGTCCAACCAACAACCGTAGCCTCTGCTCCATTAGTTGCACACAGCTCGGTTGCTTCATTAACCTTTAATAAAACCGGCATGCCGATACAGAGCGGTAAAATTCCAGCATGGTTAGACGTGCAATGCGGAGGTAATGTCCACAAGAACTGCTGAGTAGCGTCGGCAATGGCGGTGGCGTTATCTGGCTGTAGGATGGAATGATCCCATTGCGATTGACGCAGTGAAGTCGACTCACTAGAGGCAGAGGGCCACTGATCTATGGAATGGAAATGATGTAATACGCGGTGATGTTCACGAGCAAACCTTTCCGCTCCTTCTTCATTCATGGCATCTCGGTCAAGGTTATAAGAAGTAATGATGGATATCTCTCGAAAGTTAGCATCCAGCAAGCTAGGTGCCAAACACGAGGAACCAGCAATCCGACTTTCCAGAACAGCAATGTCTTGTGGTGTGCATGCACGATACCGCATGTTCTCCAGCGCGGACCGGAATTGTTGATCTTCTTCGGAAATGCCTCGCTGTCGCATATTTTGACGGAGGATCACAACTGTGGTGAATTGCTGCCACAATGCCTTTCCCATAATAGAAGTAGCTTGGTATGGTTTCACGCCCGATGTCATAGTGCCAACGCTATCTGAGTACAGGGGATATTGGCCCCTACCAGGCGGTGGGAGCTGAGCAAAGTCTCCTGACAAGATAACACTCTTGCCGCCAAAGGACACACCGGCGTCGCCAAATATCTTAGTGAGCTAGGTACTGATGTGATGCAATTCCGAACAAGATACCATAGAAATCTCATCAATGAAGATAAGATCAATGCCATCTAAAGTACCCCGGAGCTTTGACAGTGCTGTTCGTTTGGGATTCAAATCATCAGAGCCTGAGCGGCGGATGCCAAGAGCAGAATGATAAGTTTGGCCATCAATGTTGCAAGCTGCTGTCCCAGTTGGGGCCAAGACTAAGAATCGGTAGGACTCATGTCGTTTGTTCAGGAATGATATCAGCGAGCGAACGACCGTTGATTTGCCCGTGCCTCCGATTCCACCCAGATACATCCTTAGCGGTGCTTTATCTCGGCGATGAAGATGCCCAGAAACCAAACCAAAAGCTAAAAGCTGCTCCTCATTTAGACTGAATTCAGCTGCAACGTCATGCATGAGACTAACCGTGGGATCCTGAAGGGAGACGGGCACGGGTGTAATGTGCGTAGCATCGCCCTTCCCATACAGTGAGTCCTTAGTGACGATGGACACAAGATTAGCCGGGACAGTTGAAACAGGCAACTGTTTAAACGGTAATTCATATGTCTGTATAGATGGAGTACAAAACATTGGTTGAGGTCGCTGCCGGCGTGCCTGATTTATAGTCTCCTTCTCCTGCCGGACTAGGTCATTCCACTGCGATGGAGAGCGCAACATATCCGGCTTTATTCCCCCATCACCATCAGTTGCTGGGGGCGTTAAGATGTTACTGTAGGCAGTCTTAATACTGAGACGCATTCGCTGCATTTTGGCATTCATTAGAGTCATACCAGACAGTTCTGCCCCGGTGGGATCTTCTAACGCCCTAGCTATAGCATCATCGGTGCCAGATGTGTCAGGAATGTTGTTAAACTCGGTAAGTGAAAGACCATCTACAGAGAATTCGGTGTCATGTCCAATCCCATGTTCTGGAGCAGATACAAGGGCCGACTCTTGTAGGCGGCGGATTGCTGAGTAGTCATCACGGGCATCCAAACATTCATAAAGGACATTCATGTTCTGCATAATTTTAATGTGTTCTTCCGCAAATGTGGTACTATCAAATGCTTCCTCCCAAGAGGAATGGGAGCCGAGCAAATGTTGCCCATCACGCCGGCCAGACGGGTTGAAAAAGACCAGCATTGTCCTACAATACAATTCCCGAACGCCTACGTCCTTCCTGGGCAACATCGGTCCAACAAAATTCAGCACATACATCTTGTCAAGGCGCACATCGTGGACGGCATGTGTAGCGAACGATGGATGTTGTGGTTGAAAACTGAATCCAACGGAGCTGGAGCAACCATCGGCGGCATCAATGGTGTCATCATCATTGTCAACACCTACTGCGTCTTGGACAGCTTTGTCTATGTCACCATGGTTCTCATTCTGTGGGGAAGGATCCCGGGGAGAACCACGATGTTTGCGGACAATGGTCGCCGTGAGATACGAGTATAGGCTCATGTTTTCATACTTAGTTGGGCGGAACACATAGTCGTTCACCTTGTAGTATGGTACCACATGACTGTCCGCCTTGGAGAGAATAATGCGATCTGTGGAGCCATCCTCACTAGTATGGTCATTATCATCTCCAGCCAATGAAATGTCTGATGTACGTGCCACATAAGAAACATATGATGTCCAGTAAAACGTTTTGAATATCTGATCGGTGTAATGATCCGGATGTCCCAGTAAATAAGCGCAAGCTGCCGGCCCCCCAACTTGTTGCATGGAAGACAGCGCATTCACAATCTTCATAATAACAGAACGTGCAGCATCATGATGCCCAGACACATTAGCCATAATCTCATCACGACGCTCAATGACGGATTTGACCGCTGCAAACACTGACTCGGTTTTGAAGGCCCCCTTAGTAATGTAGTCAGTGACATATGCAATCACTGCTCGGACTTGGGTGCCGGACAGTAAACAAGTCACGTCGGAATTGCATCTCAGCAAGTAAGACAGCACTGGATTATAGGTATTGATCCAAGCCTCTGATTTCTTGAATCGTATGGCACCCGAGTCTGGATCAACCGTTGTTGTGGGAAATAATTCACGAGGGTACCTTGCACGACAAGGACTAGACGGTGTGCGTTTACATCCTCGACTATGCTGCTGGCTGTGTTGATTAGAGCGGAAGACTATGTCGTCGCTTTCGGCTAACAAAGACGCATGCCAACTGTCCAGACTACCAGAATCAGATAGGACAGACAGGTTAGGTCTCACTGGCAGTTCCATAGTAGGATCACCGTATTCTTGGCCGGTGCTCTTAACTTCTGTTGATGACGAATGAATAGAGTTGGACGAATTAGGCAAAGAATGCTTGTCACTGGCCTGGGACAGCTTAATGCGTTCTTGAACATCTGCAAGAGTTCCTTGACTGAAATCGCCCGTATGACACTGTTCCAACCACTGCAGGAGGCCCACTCAAAAGGATACACTGTCTAGTATGCGCTCCCTGATTTCTTTCGGGCTGAGAGAGCACATGATCCAAAGGAGTAAATGTAAATGAAGGCTGAGCCGGTGTTGAGACTCCACTGTACCATAATATGCTCTGGTACGTCCAAACAGCCCTGAAAGACCAGAACCGCTCCTTAAGATGTGTTTCACAAACAGGGTAACAAGGAGATTAAAGAATCGGGCACACGCTACAGGATTGGATGCTATTGCACGCATACGGTCAAGATGGCTAGCCATCACGGGACGTTGGGACAGTAAGTCAATTTTCTCACCGCAGTAGAGCATACAGAGCGGGTTCTTGAATTCTACTGGCGCAAAAGTAATAAAAAACACAGGGACGCCTATAGTCATGATGAGCGACTTCAGTTCTGTCCTCTGGTATTTACGCTGAGTGGGAGACGCAGGAACGTGAGCGGCAACATGATCTACAATGGACAGCAGCTGGAAGCATTGTTCCTCTTCTGTCGTCTGAGGTTTAACGTATTGCCCATTCCCAGAGCGATCAATCAAATTTTGGAGTGCGGTCTTATCCACACTCAATATGGTGTCCACAACATTTGCGAAGTTCTTACGCTCTGTTAGCAGATAACCACCGCGAGTGCTTCCTCTGATCTGTTCCTGATTGAAGACAATGAAGGGAAAGTACTCATCGGTCTGGAAACGCCGATCAGCATACATAAGCAAATGCCTGACATGTCCAATGCGGTCAATACGGGTACTAATGTGGTTGTTCTCAAACCCTCCCAGGCCATAAGGAAAGAGCCAGGGGAAAAGACCCGGATACAGAGCCGGATTATGATACATGGACGCAGGCGTATCATCATGACCTATAGCTAGCATGCCATGGCCGTCAGTGAAGTGCTTAACTGCGGCAGCCAGCCGGGCGTCATAAGACATATCAACTAACTGATCTGCAGATAGACTCTGGACGACAAACTCACAAGGGCCACTGTCTGCACCCAATTCACCATCCTGATCGTACACAGACATACCCTCTGCAGGGCGTAGCCCGTCGGTGGTCTTGTGTAACACACTGACCGGTGGCTCGCTTTCAAGATACTGCGATAGATTGGTGTAAGAAATCTCCACGTCTGAGTAAAGTGAGTGATTGGATATAAGCCAATTTAAGGCCTCAACAATAACGCGATGTCTCACCAACAAAGGTGTCCGACGGTAATCAGGCTCCGAAGGGACACAGGGGCCAATGAATAGGATAGCCAATACTTCATCTAAGTCTTCACGAGGCGGCGGCAACACAGTATAAACGTTTCCAATGGGCTGCGGGAAGATAATGGCATTAGCACGCATCTTGCGCTGCCCAGGAACACCTTTACCTTGGTTAACCTCAACGACACAAGCGTTGTGACGATACTTAGAGATTACCAATTTCTCCACAAAAGTCAAGCTCTGAAGACAAAGTGGAACATCACCGACCCACAAACCATTAGCGAGAGCACGCCTTGGCAGAAGATGGTGCCGTAAACCGTTGAGACATGTGGAGCAAACATCTAAGAAACACAATCCATCACGGACATGTACCGCAGGAGGGTAAAGTATGGGCTCCTGAGCAAGCCCGGCGGAGACGCCTCTGCGAACCAGAGGGGATAAGTCAAGGCCATCGCGAAGAACGGTTGACACGGATGTCCCAAGAACAAGCTCACCACACACTGCGCACGGACACTCAATCAATGAAGAGCCATTGATCGAGTCACACCAGTCGGCAACGATATGTGCGACATCTTCCTTTCCAAGAGGGGGAGGAGGGAAGCAGCCCGTGTCGGATGGAGAAACAACGGGAATTGTAGCAGGTGTCGGATTACTGGTGCTTTCAGAAAGAGGCAGGGCAGTGGGTACATATATGGCGGTGGAGACAAATACAGCATAGCGGATGCCGCAGCTAGAAGAGCATGTGTGAGAGAGTAGCAGACGAACGACAGAGAGACGACTGCGAGTTCCAACCGATAGAGCAACGCGATGCGTATGAGCTAGCTGCTTCAAGTTGCGATAATTCAAAAGCGGAACCAAAGCCGCGACACCCATACTCACAGCAAATGCGTTGCTATTCTGTAGATGAATAGACGCATCAGCAATGCCGAGATGGCCCACATATTCGACGTCGCCTTCGGGTGGTGGAGGGCGAGATCCATCCATAACCGAAAATGACTGAAGCGAGGTAACAGGTACCGTCAGCGACGACACAATCGCTATATCTCCCGCCGAGTCCCGCACATCAGTAGGACTGAAGTGCGGCATGAAACGCACTGAGGGCACTGCGGGCACTGTGGAAGGCAACCAAAAGACAGAAGCGAAAGACAGACAAGAGCCAGCACAGACATGGAGAAGTAACACCGTACACACGTTTGTCGCCGTGCGTGCAGTGCGCGGTATACAAACTCCATGAAATTGTGCTAGACGCATGAGCTGAGGCACTGGCAAATGTTCAACTAGATATTGGTAAGGAACACGAATTGCACACTGACTGTCACCATGAACGGGACTGACCGAGCTCTCAGTGTCAATGACACTATGCCATTCAACGGTACCTGACACAGGCAGAGCAGAGTACAGGTCAAGCGCATCGAACGACCTCAGTGCAAGCACATTAAACTTAACGGAACGCTGCATTCAATAACACGTACGGAAGCCGGTTCAAAATGTCTCCACGAGCTACACAAAGTCCACACGTTTCCACACGTCTCCACGGGAGCAACACGTTGAAGTCCCACACGTCCACAGAGGTGGAGAATTTGATAGCCCAGAAATGATACCATAAACCGCAGGCAACGCCTCAGCAATCGCAGGAGTAAGTCGGTGAGCGGTGAAGAAGAGACGGTGGGCAAATTTAAAAGAGGGAAGAGACGATTAGTAATTACAAGATGATGTAAGCTGGCCAATGAGAGTGTCCAATGTTGCGATTTTCCTAACGCGGTGCTGACTAAGCGAGGGCTCGGATGGTGCGGAAAAGACCCGATATTAGCATATCGGAAACTATGTAATGGCCGGCCGGTTTGTTTTGTGTGTGGGTACATTATGACCGGCCGGTTCTTTCTCAATGTAGGTATATCACCTCCGGCCGGTGTGTTATTAATTTAGATATATTACCTTCGGCCAGTACATCATAAACAAAGGTATATGACTTCCGGCCGGACCATTTGAAACCATAGGGATGCATTCCGGCCGGACCATTTCCAAACACAGGGATGAAATCCGGCTGGAGTGTTATAAATGTGGTTGCCAATCTCCGGCCGGTCCATTTACAACCATATGTGCAATCACCGGCCGGTTTGTTTATAAGCATATGGGTGAACACAGGCCCCTTGTTAGTGACACCTCCGGGTGCTCCCCATTGTCGGCCGATCCGTTCAAAACAAGACCGGCCGGTCCGCTAAAAAAGGGCACCTCCGGCACTGGCCGGTGGGTTTGCAACCTCCAGACTCATTCCGTCGGCCGACGTCGGGTTTCCGTTAATGATGGCGGAAATGCATCTCGGCTGTACCGTTAATAACGTGAAAGTCCGCTGAATAGGCTCGATGTCAACCGTCATATCCCAAGGATCGTCACGAAACACACCTTCGGCGCCGGTATCTGAAGTGATTCAAGGGCATCAACTGACAGTAGGTCAATCACGGGTGGTGCATCCTCCGAACGGTTCGGGGGATGGGTCGGTTTGGAGGACGGCTGCGGCGCGCGTCTGGGCGTGCTAGGAGGTGTATCAGACCTCTCCCAATGCACAGACACCAGTCGGCCCCTTGTCCCTCTCGTCATGACCGATCGTTTGATGATAACCTCGGCCACTTTTGGAGAGCTTGTGTGCAGTTTAATGCGCGCCATGTTTGCTTTGTGTCGAGTGTGCTTTCGAAGCGGGAGGTAACTGTGCTGCACCGTCGTCGACGAGCTGTACACACTACAACTGCCCGGGCAACTCCATCCGACTGCACCGGTATCACCACGAGCCGGAGGCCACTTTGTGTCGGAGTTCCCTGATCCATCTCATGCGGTTTCATACCGTGCTTGGCACCGGGCTCCATACTGAAGGGGGCCGTAGGCAAACACACCTCGTTGAGGTTTCAGGCCAATCATGACATGAGGCTAGATTGCCGGGGTACGCAGCCGAATTATCCGTCGTACCCGTACCATTCCAGACAAGCCACCCGTCGCCTGATCAAAACGGAAGAATTCTGTGAAGGATAAAAGTGACTGCGCTGATGGTAAAGAAGGTGTGATGTAGTGAAATGTGAATAGATGCCAATGCGACAGCTGGCCAGCAATCTAGCTTGGTTGGCACGTCCTTGCCTTCAGCTCCCACATTGTTGTTGTATCTCTGGGCGGCCGGCACGCTCTTATTGGTCACCATCGACCATGGCACGTCCCAAGAAGGATCGCTGGAGGAAAGCGGACAGCCGGATTCTTAGGTCCCACTTGGAGGCCTGGAGGGATGCTGTGGATGACCAGGAGACAAGGGATGAAGAGGTGGCAGCTGCGGTGAGAGAGCTGGAACGGGAAAAAGGGATAGTCTTTGACGAAGCATGGAAAGAGGTGCGAGTGATGTTCCTCGATTACATTTTTGCTGAGAATGCAGGGCCAGCGAGTCCGGAAGTGGTTTTACGAGCGACATCCGGATGGCGAGAAACGCAAGAAGCCAATGTTTAAGGTTGGTAAGAGGGTGACGTGGCAGATGGTGCTGGCTCGGGAGGAGAAGGAGGCTCTGGAGGCACGGATTTCTGAGATTGGGGATGGAATGGAACGTGATCGTAAGCAGTATCCTGCCATTTACCAGAAAGCACTTTCGGCGCTGTCCCGAGATTTTTGGAGGAGGACCGTGCTCGGTACGAGCAAATTGCGGAGAAGTGGAACAAGAAGGGCAGTCCCCGGGACGTACAGCTGAAGAACATTGCCAACAAACTCGACGGGTGGATGGAAGACTTTGAGAGGCAGATATGGAAGCTCACCGGGGTGAGACTATTTGTATTCGCCGCGTTCATGGGATCTGAAAAGCCGACCGTGACATGGTGCGTCGGGCTGAAATTGGAGCATCACCGTGTACTAACAAATTCCAGCTTTGATCACAACGACAAGTTTGGTGCGGAGGCTCGAACAGGCGAACCGTGCATGCGCTTTGTGGACCGTCATCCAAAGTTCAAGGAAGGTCACACCTACGACTTCTTTGTGGAGTATGCCGAGTATGCGTTTGGTGAATACGTTCGGGCTGTATTGATGTGTTCCGATGCTAAATGCTTATGGATCAGACACTAAACCGCTCGAAGCAGACGAGGCAGCCTCAGAGGAAGAGGCGGTGCCGGGCGAGCCGGAACTGGCCTTTGATGACGAGAATTATCCGCTGCTGCCAGATCCCGGGGACCCGTGCTTTGCAAAATTGGGTCAACGGCGACGGTTTATCAAGCAGTTTGTGCGGGTTACCTATGGTAGGCCCACCGTTATCCCAGGACATTATAAATCACTCACAAACGGCGTTTCAGAACGATATGTTGGCCGCTCGGCCAGGGTTCCGTGGCTTGCGCTCGCTACCAACTCCAACGACTACATCGACCCAGTATATCTCCCCGAAGACATCATCCTTCGTGATCCCGAGAAGCTACGGCAGGACGAGATTGGGGCCCTCATCCGTCATTGGCGCACGCGGCAGCAGGACGAAATTCCGGTGTTTCGCTTTAGGGCGTACCGAAACGGCGAGGGCATCGCTCAGGAACGCATCATCCTCCCTCCTCCGCCGCCAAGTCCGCCACGGCCTCAGCGACGCCGGGAACGAGCAGAGCCCAGCCCACCTGTCGCCAGCCCTTCCCGAGTCCCGAGACAGCAGCACCAGTCCAAAACGGGTCCATCCGGGCAGCGGTTGGAATCGTCAACCTCTGGGAGTGAATCTTCCGAGCCCCGGCACGCTGTCCAAATGACTCGACTCCAAAAACAGGACCGGTCCAGCAGTTCGAGTAGCAGTGAATCACGCACCAGCAATGGGTCCGAATCGAGCAGTGATACCAGCAAGTTAAATGATGACGACGCCGACAACGATGACAATGGAGACACGACTGGGCCTGAGGACGGGGATGATCATGATGAAGATGAGGATCGTCCGTCGTCCCGTTCTCTGATTCCTGCCCGAGAAAAGGGTAAGGGTAAGGCCGAGGACGACGATGATGAGGAGGAGAATGATTCATCGCCCCGCCGTCGGATTCCTGCTAAGAAGAAGGGCAAACACAGGGACGAGGAAGAGGATGATGGGGAGCAGGATCCTCCAGCTTCCAGTCGGCGCATCAACGCGCGGAAGAAGGGGAAGGGCAGGGCTGAGGAAGAGGAAGATGACGATGAGGATGCCCAGTCGTCCTCTGGTCGAACTTCGGCGAAGAAGCGCGGAAAAGGGAAGGCCGCCGACGCACCTCCTCTTCGTACCTACGCCACCAGGGAGAAGCCGGGTCCGGCTGGTATCGTGCGCCGCAAGGAGACTGGTAGTGCGATGACTGGCACCTCAGACGGTCAATCTAGGGCTGTAGGCCGGAGCAATCGTACGTATCTCGTCTCCAGTGTAGCTTTGCCTGGCCGTTCTGACTTCATAAAACAGGACAGGAACAGAGGTCTGTCGCGGGAACATCCAACCGCTCGAATCAACGCAGGCCCAGAACACCGGATAATTGGAGCCCGGCAGAGGTGGGAGCGACTTTTGAGGCGCGACAGGCGTTTCTGCTCGAGCTAAGCAGACATCCAACTTTCAAACAGATGGTTGCTGCAATCCCGAACTTGGTACGTCCTGATCCATCTCTCGTTTCAACTCTAATTTGCTTTCAATGCCAGCTGGAAGTTGGATCCTGGAAGTCGGCGCCGAAGTTCGAATGGGCAACGTGGTCATACCCAGAGGCTTACTGCAACAGGGCCATTCATCAAGAGAAGGTGCTGCTGAAGGTCTTTCGGGGGTGGCTCACAAGACACCGGACAAATCTCGATACCAACACCATGGGCCGGGAAGACGCACAGGCCATGGCGTTGGCGATTGGCATGCTAGCTAGAGATGTTGAGGAGCACTACGACGC